TTTGTTATGGTGGATTTTTTTTCTTTCAAATTTCTCATGTTTATATAGTTGGTCATAATTTTTCTGAAAATATAGCCTTTATGAAAATAACTTCCTTCAAATTGAGGAAAATGACTTTCCGATCAAAATAGAAAAAACTCAATGTCATAAGTAGCTTTTCACACAATTGTCTCCCGAACCCACCCCAAACTCTCACCAGCTCCCCTCTCCTCACCCTCTTAATTTTTATCTAGATTATATATAAATATATTAGCACATCGTCTCTAATCTTTTAGAAAATCGGTAATTATGTCACCCAAAGAATGCTTGCCAATAATCAGAAATTAAGTCTCGTTCAAAATCTTGATCGATGCTGGAATGTACTATTACTGCCACCCTTGTGGTACGTACAGGCAGACTTTGTACGAACATATTAGCTTTATTCTACAAGGTCAATATGCAGACAAATGCTACCTTGTTCAAAAACTTTGTTACTTTCTAGTACACCATTTCAATTAAAAAAAAACATCAGAAAAGATCACTTTATTATATTTTTTGCACTAGAAACATCAAAAGTGGAAGAACATATATTAATTATTAGGAAAATTTTTGTGATTAAATAAGAATAATATATAATAAGAGATAGTGTGATCAAATCATGATATACTGAAGGGAGAAACAAATTAAAGGAGCACCATGAATTGTCATTCGTCGGATGTGAAGACATATAGAGGATTTTGGGCAGCAACTTTGATATTCTTTGTTCTCCCTTTCTTGGGTTATTGACACTTCATTTGTACCTTCTTGTTTCTTTCCATTTTCCAACCACCAATCATCATATACTATTTTACTTTTTTTCTTCATCACAAATGGAGGGGTTGTTACTTGTTTGTTGTTAGGTTAGTAAAACACGATTTGACTCCATTATTTTTTACACTTAATTCATCTTATCATTCGAAAAATACAAAAACAACTTAATTTTGCATTCCCGTGAAGATTCCTAGCTCAGATAACATATATCAAAAAGCATATGCAAAACTACTAATACTATTGGTCGTAAAAAAGATAAAGAAGTACAGACCGTCAAATTACGATCGACCAAACTAAATTTGCCATATTAAGGAAAAACATGCACTAGCGTCAAAGTAACACCAAGCCTAACCACTCAACTATCTAAGTAACTTTCTGTCCTAATTTGCGACCTCCAAATCCTCATATCTCCTCGGTGAACTAAAAATATGTCATATCCGTCACATCCTCTAATGAGCTGATCTCCCCAATATTTTTCGGTCTACCTCTACATCTTCTAGAACCACCATCGTCAACCTCTCACATCTTTCCACTGGGGCTTCTCAAACTATATATTTATATGTTTTGATTTTTTTTTAGATATATACAAAGCAAAATTCACCGACTAAAAATTCTGAATTCGCTACACGTATATTATATGGTCGGCTAATTGATTGATTTTATGTTTTGAGTAGGACATTCACAAGGACGATCAATATGTGGATGGATTGCAACCATGCATGCAATCAAAACTTGTTATCGCTTATCATCATCTTTGTCAATAGTCAAAAGAAAATCTATTTTATCATTAATGTGCAACAAGCAATGAATTAATAAACTCATTGAATCACAAGCATGAAGAAAGCTAGCGCATGAGTGATGATTACAAATTAAAGAAGCCCATGTATTACTATTTCAAGTACTTAGATATTCATTTTTGTCAAATTAAAAAGTTACTCACTATCATTTGAACAATTGATTGTTTATAACTTTCACAAGCACTTCATATTTGAGATAAGCTCCAATCTATCTTTTGTTGAATGTTATTGACTAAAACATGATAGCATTGGTTGACCACTTTGCCATATTTTATACTCCCTTCGTCCCAATTTATGTGATACTTTTTGAATTTCAAGATTTAAATAACTCTATTTTTTTACCGTAAATTTTTTATATATCTTTTAAAAAATTTAAAGATTTCATGCACAAATTTTTCATCAAACTTAAACTGTTTGATTCTCAAAAAATGAAAAGTGCCACATGAATAAATTGGGAAATGGGAGTAACTATTTTGGTCAAAACGTAACCTTTAAGGTGAGTGGATCAGGCCAATGAATTCCAATTTCAGCATGCTTTCTTCATTCACACATTTCCACAAGTCTTAAGGTTCATTTTTTCTTGAATTCTGACGAGTTTTTAGGATGACAGCTAAGAAAATAAAATAAATATTATATCTAGATGATAAAATGGTATTCAGAATTTGTCTCCATCGACATCAATTGATGAAATTTATATACTATGATATGGAACCAAGTTGAAGCGACATGATAATTATCTTTATAATTTAAGGTTATCTTTGCTGTTACAATATACAGTTAACATGTAAAATTCTATTTGTTGGTGAAATAAGAGTGCACGTTACCCTAATCAATAAAATATTTTATTTTTAGAAGAACAAAATTTTGTTTCTTGACTCAAAATTGATTGGTAGATGTGAAGTCTTGGTTTGTTGGTATGATATCAATTTTATACATTCTTAGATAGAGAAATTGATAGAAGCTGAATTAGACTTATTGAGAAACCTTATCTTTTCTCCAAAAAAGAAAGATAAGAGGTGTTAAGAGGCGGCAGCAACAACGACAATATATATTCAGTATAATTGTATAAGTAATCTTCGAAGAGAATATATATTCCATCTTTCGTGGAGTTAAAATTTTTACTAAAAAATATAAAGAAAAAAATTCATGATAAAAGATAAAGAGGTATTAATGTGTAATATATATATACATAATATATTTTTCGACGAATGAATATCAATTGACAGTACCCCTCAATTACATATGGCTTTGCCATTAATATTTGTGGTCTTACTCTTATCTTTTACAAATAGAGAAATTATTTCTAATATATCCACGATATAAAGAAGATGGACAAAAGGCGAAAAAGAAAGTTTTATATTGTTGTATGCTTCTTTTAAGGGAAGCAAAATTGGAATTAGGTCAGAAAAGATAACAGAGGTTGCTGAGTGAAAAAGAAAAGAAAAAAGAAACTGATTACGACCAAAAACAGTGTCTCATATTTGCACGAGCAAAGATATAGAAAAAGAGAAAGACGAAACTATTTTTTAATTCACTTTTCCCTTACTACTAGAAAAAAGATTATTTTTTTCTAAAAAATAAAATAAAAAATGTTTTATGTATAGGATTCACACGCGACAAGTACTTATGAGGGTTGTTTGGATTTGGTGCATGCTTCTTGTGTGGATTGTTATCCCCACACTCATGAGAAAACTCTTTCTATTATTTTCCCTTGAAATTTCACGTTTTTAGTTTTTGTTTTGTTTGGTGAGTCATGCCAAACATCCCCTATCGTCTCCATCAATTTTCTCATTTCTCTCTTTATTTACCCACCTTTGTACTTATTGCGTGCACTTCAATCCCCAACGTCAAATATATATTCCATCTGTTTTTCTTTTTCTTAAATAGTAGATATTTTGATTGTTTTAATTTATATGACAAATTATCTTGATTCATCTTTTATATAATTAAAAAAAAAAAAAAAATTAAAAAGTGCGTGAAGTATTAATAAATATAAATAGTAATGTTATCATTAAGTGTATTTAGAATATGAATATGAATATTCATCGAGTGCAATTATAGAGGATATTGTTGGAATTTTTTTTCTTAGTGCCAAGATTTCATTTTTTTTTGATTCATTTGTCATCGAATAATCAAATCGAAGTCTGAAGTTGATATTTACAAGGTAAGAAATAGGTTAAATATTTTATTGAATTAATGAACATGCTTATTTAAAAGGCGATACGACGCCCACAGCTTTTAAATTCTGAATCCTCTTAGGACAAAATTTTAAACTTATATTTATAATTTAAACTATAGTAGTATTTATGTAATGATGAACTCATGACAATAAAATATTTTACAAGTAGAGTGTGAAGAAGATAAGATGTATAAAATTTTTATGATATAGAAAAATTATTTGCGATAAATCATTGACTTTATTACATTCATGTTATTAAAATAGAATAAAAATTTTAGAATTAAAAAAAAGTATCACGTGAAGCGAAGTGTAGGTAAGGCATAGTACTATCCTGTTGTTACCGGCTATTTTGGATAAGAATATATTTGGTGTTCAATTCGAGTACTTGGAAGAGTTGGCGCGTCAGCTGAGTTGATAAAGCAGTAGATCGAAGCATAGTGGTAAAAAAACTTTAGCAGTAGAATGACGTAAAGCATTGTGTCTGTCCTCTTTTATTTCCGGTCTGATCGGTCGAGCTCTCGTAATCGATCGCTCATATGTCCATTTCATCTTCTCTATCGTGACCAATTAAGGTTGTGGTGGATGGTAAAAATTTTCGTATAGTTATTTTTATTAAAAAATATTTACTTTTATGATGAATTTTTTTGATGTAAGTTTAAATTTAATAGGCTATAAATCAAATATCGAACATTAGAAGGGACCGCAAAAGAGCAATACTTTCTCATTATTCACATCACTTCCTTTAAGCACTACTCTATTGCGTGCAGAACAGCTGGTCCTTAAAATCTTCGTAAAACGTATCTTTCATTATTAAATTAAGCAGTTCGAAATTAATCATGTTTAGGAATTGATTAATTCAATTCTTATAAAAATTTAATGAAATTAAACGATGAAAAAATGTTTCAAATTTGTTCCTAAACTATCTACTTCGCTTAACTTATACTCACCGTCTAAAAATTTGGCCACACAATACATTCACCGTCACTCTTTAGTAAACAGGATTTTCATTACTTCCGCATATGATGACACTTATCATATACGTTTAAATCAGTTACGGGACAAATTATAATTTATAACATTTTTTATTTTAATTTTAAAATATCAAATTATTGAAAATTAATCGGAGGAAGTATTAATTTGATTTTATTTACAAGAATATACGTTACATATGGGGGTGGTGGGTGGGGTCAGTTAGTGGGTGAGTGTGGCTATAAAGAGACCCCTGCTGTGCTTCGTTATCTCCCTTCACTGCAACTTCTTCTCCATAAAAACACTTTTTTAGAGAGAGGAGAAAAAAAAAAAGGCTTTCAGTAAATTGAGAGAGATGGGGAACTGCCAAGCCATTGATAATGCTACTTTGCTTATACAACACCCAAGCGGTAGAGTTGACAAACTTTATTGGCCTGTCACTGCTAACGAAATCATGAAGATGAATCCCGGTCATTATGTTGCTCTTCTTCTTACCACCACCACCTTGTGTCCGCCCACTAATCCTTCCTCCGCCACCGCTTCCACCGCCAAAAAAATTAACAGTGCCACGACTAATAACGGTGGAACTAATAATATGCCAGTTCGTATAACGCGTATTAAGCTTCTCAAGCCAACGGATACGCTTGTTCTGGGTCATGTTTACAGACTAATTACTACTCAAGGTTTGTTCTATCTTCGAATTTCTGGTTAATTGAGGAGTAACGAACTAATTTAGTGTACTTAATTACTGAGTTTTATAATGATTGTTGATAATTATGCAGAGGTGATGAAAGGATTATGGGCTAAGAAGTATTCGAAGATGAAGCAACAGCAATTAGAATCCGGTGACAAGAGTAGTGAGAAATCAACGAATTCACACTCTAAAAATGGAGTTGTTAGAAGATCTGATTTGGATAACTCCAAACAGGTGATTATTTTTTTTCAAACTAAAATTTTAATTTCACCTGCTTCTGAAGATAAGAAGAAATTATTATTTAAAAAAAAAAAAAAAGAGGGAGAAGGAAACAAACGATTGTGGTGCATAATTTTCTCAATCAACGCCGAATAGAAACGAAGAAGATATAAAAGTGAAAAATTCAGCTTGTTTTTTTTTCCTACTTTCAAAATAAGAGAAAAAAAAAAATTATTTTTTAAAAAAAAAAAAAGAGGAAGAAGGAAACAAACGATTGTGGTGCATAATTTTCTCAATCAACGCCGAATAGAAACGAAGAAGATATAAAAGTGAAAAATTCAGCTTGTTTTTTTTTCCTACTTTCAAAATAAGAGAACAAAAAAATATAAGCGTCAATTAGAAACCGTATATGATTCGAGGAATTATACCATTATTGCATAAAGAGTGTTAGTACAAAATTTTCATTATTTAATTATGTGAATGTAATTTATTTTTCCAGGTGAAACAAGAAAAGCATAGGAGTTCAACAGGTGCAAAACCAAGAACATGGCATCCCAAACTCCACAGCATATCAGAGGCTACAAGCTGAGATGAATTTGATTTGTGTTATGAGATTGTGGAGTAGAGGAAGGACAAAATCACTTCCACCAGGAAAACAAACAACAGATGGGTAGTTTTTCCTCATCAAATTAGAGTTAATTAATGACATGTACAGCAAATATGAGGAAGTAAAAGAAAAAAAACAAAAAAACTCACATCATGGCTCAACTTTTGTAATCATTTGGAAGGCCTTCTTTAATTGAAAATCATTGTGGGCTTTGTTAGGATCGGAGCACCAAATTTTATTTACTTATAATTTGGATTCTAATACACTTCCAACGTTTAATGAATTACTCCATATGATTTGCGTTTGACTAAATCAGTTGTACGAATTAATCAAATTCTCTTCTTCTTTGAGATGGGTAGGTATGTGAATAATAAGAGATAGAAGTGAATTAAGACGTTTGAAAGTGAAATCAATAGATAACTAGTTGTACTGTTTCTTTTTATAGCTATTTTTTATTGTCCTTTCAATTCCAAGTTTTTAATTTTTATGGAAGTTTCAACCTTATTGACTCGTGGATAGTTACATTTTATACTAGCGATTGATATATAATAATTAGATCGTCAAATACATATAACTAGAATACGTGAACTAGCCAAGTTTTTATTCGAAAAATTATTAAATTGAGTTTTTGTACTATTTGAAATTGAGCAATTTAAGCCTTATAGGTTAAGCTTTTAATCTCATATTACTCTCCCAACAAAGTTCCAACGGGAGTAATGTAATTCTCAGTCATCATAGTCAAAAGTTCCAAGGGTACGTTTGGAGTTATCTTCAAGAATTTGGACACCCATATCATGCTAGGACAATGTTTTCTTTGATTTATCAGAAACAACATTTCTATCTGCACAGAGTAAAGGATAAATTTTGTGTGTTTTCTATCCCGTTTCAGATCTTATTTATGAATTACAATTTACACCGACTATATTGATGTTTGTTGTTAATATAATAGTATACATGACAAGTTTGAACCTTTCTATTCCATACTACACTGACTAAAGGGCTATCTTTTCATTTTGCCTCTCTTTTTTTGGTTGGGTAAACTAATTTCAACTCAAGTTGAATACGTTTACCCAACAATCATAGAAGTATAAATAGTTGCTCCTAGGAATAAAATCATGAGGAGAGGGAGGGGGTATACTAGTGATATAATTCATGAGTGCGCAATGCTTTTAATAAAATCCAACTTTTGTAGCAAAAAGTGAACACACAAGGAAAATGAGAGAAAGAGATAGAAGAATAGAGCAAATGGAAAAAGTAGAGTAAAGATATTAGTAATTGAGAGTGAAAGTATGAAGAAAACACACAAAAGAAAACAGAAAAGACAGCAAGCAAAAAGTACGATATATGCATGCGTGCATTATTATTTGGTAGGATATGCTGAGCTTCATCTATATATCATATATCCTTATGAATGCTTTTTTATTTGCCAAATGAATGGGGCCTTGTTCTAGTCAAACGTCATATATTATTATGAATTATTCATCAAAAAACAAACACATAATCCCATAAAATGCTATACCTATCTAATCATTCCTACGTAGGCTAATCAAATTTCTAGACCTTGGTGGGTGGGTGGGTTCCCTACTAAGAATGGTTCTTATAAGTCTTCATTGGATAAATCATGTAGTAGATAGATAATGAGCCTAGGAGTTGAATTATTGTTAAAGAAATAAAATTTGTTCAAAAGCTAGGGATGATTTAAATCATATTAAAGAGATCATTCATCCTTTCATGATCGATGGGAGACTCTTCAACATGACCGATAAGATATCTTCACAATTATCCTATGTGGCCTTCAATTGCTAGAGTGAATCAGATCTTTCAATGACCAGATAATATAATGCTTGTAATATTTTAAATTTTTACCTATAACAAAGTTGGGTTAATAATATCAATAACTTCGTCTAAACTTTCAAATATTTACACTACTAGTAGGGACTAGGAAGTTTAAAGCAACTACCTTCTTTCAAATTGTGCAACTTTTCTTTTACTTTCAGATCACTTGATAGGTAATTGCACGTAATTATTATATCTATAATAAGTGGAATTACTAGTAACTTAAAAATTAAGTAAGACAAATAACATTCTAAGAAGGTCAAAATTGCACTGATAATTTAAATTTTTCATTATATTAATTATCATTGAATGTAAGTTAAATTCTTCTTGAAAAACCGAAGGTTGTGCCAAATTGGGAACTTATTTTGTAGCCATAGAGAATTTCTCAATTCGAATACAAGGTACTTATCAGATCAAGTTCCTCGGTTACTACTTTAATGGTTTCAGAATGGTCCAAAAGACAATAATAATAATATATGATATATCTGGTCTGATCTTATTAGTAAAGTCTGCGAAAATGTCTAGAAGGCGCGAAGGAATTATTTTATTCCGCAGAGATCTAAGAAGAAATTTCAGAAATTCCTTTAGTTGTTATGATACTTTCACGTATTATTTGGCACATTATACAAAACGATAAGGGCAACCTATTTTCCTATATGATGACGCCCTGTTCCACAAACTTAATATACTAATCACTATCTTAACAAATAATAGCAGCAATAATTTCAAAAAAAACAACAATGCTTTTACTTAATATTCCACAGGCAGGGCATCACTAAGATTATTTTAGGTTCCACTAAGAAAAGAAACCCCATTAGGTAGCATAAAACCATAATCAAATTCTTAAAATGGATCACCCTTGCCACCTTTAATATGGTTGGGATAAACCAGCTCAAAAATACTCTTAACACGATGTGATATTTTCTGTTTTGCATCATCAAAGAATATTTCAACATTTTATTATATGTAACTTGTTTTTTTTTCCTACACACCCAACTAATATGATATATGGTCCTGTTTATATTGAAGGAGCTACATTCTACAAACCCCACTGTGCAAAGAAAAACTATTCTCAGATGCCAATTCAAGTGGGGAAAGTAATTTTCTTAATCATTATATGGCTTACGGCCTGCGGGGTATCTATAAAGTATAGTAAAGTAGCTAGCATTCTTTGTGACAGATATAATGAATGGGACAACAACTGATGAGCAAATTTTTTAAAAATATATTCTAGTAATAATGCTTTGTTCATTTTTGACTTGAAGTAATCATTTCAGTCTTCTTTTGTTGCACTGGAATAAGCCTACATGTGCATAATGTAATGCCTTTCTTCTAGTTTCCCCACAAAGCCATCTTAGATCCTTCTTTTCTTTAACATTTCCCAGCTATCAGCCTATTCCCTACACTACTTGTTGGAGAAAACAAAAGATAGCTTTTCAAAATTGGCTCTTGTGAAATGGTAGTTCAAAAATATTATCGGTTTGATTCAATATTGGTTCAAACACTTCTCTTTTCCGCTTTTTCTTGAACGTCTTTACTTTCAGCTGTTATGATAAAGTAAAAAGGTATAGCGTGGTACCATTTGGAGAGAAATTTAGCCAGCTCTGCCACTGGTTCTTGACCACAGGAACTTGGGCAAATCAAATGCAGATAGCGGCATTAATGTACCTGTGGTCCTAACAAAAAAAAAGTGGAGATCATATCTATTAGTAGGACCTTCATTTGATTTGCAATTTCCAAATCTAAGATGTGAAGAGAACTCGTAGTAATTACTAAGCAGCACGTACGACTATTTTGCATCTTCTACGTCTTTAACTTTTCCACCTATCATTTCAGTGGTACCAGAGAATGATGGTAATGTTATGAAAGGTGAAGGTCCATTAATTTTGGTAAACCAATGCAAGTCCCTAACAATTATCTGTAGTTTTGGTCCAATTGTCCTCTTGAAATCCAATTAAGACATTTACCTCAAAACAAAGGGAGCAATATCTCAATTTGTAAGGTTGCAAATGTTGAGACTAGGCAGCCACATGCCCTTGACCCCTAGATACTTTATAGGAAACTATTTACTGGAATCCTAGAGACCAGAGACCACAAAAGAAAGAGCTTTTAAGGTTGTGGCCTCGGTATAAACCAGACATTCTAATTCAGAACAGCACTCTGCAATTTTCTAATATCATGCCTGAAAATTTGTGGTGAATACACCTTGAGAACATCTGATCAATGTCAAGACAGACCAGAAAATTTATGGTTGGCTTTTGAGATAGTCTAGAATGGGCCAAGTAATGCAGAATAAATGAAGTTATCTGAGATGGATGCAGAAAATCAACAAGCATATATCAAGAACTTATGCTACGAATGATTAAAGTGTGATACAAAAGACGAAATGAGTATGCAAGTAAAATCAAGAGAGAGAGAGAGCATAAGAGAAATAAAGTGCACACATTTTCATTGATTACTTACAAGGAGAATGAACTCAGTACCTAGCATGAATTCCTGGAAAGAAGCGAAAGCATATCCGAAGAGGAATGCAGAAAATGACACAGAAGACATATGAGATTAAGTTCAGGGTAAAGCAGTCGGACTGTGAACCATTGTCACTCGTTAGGCTTCCCAATATAATTGATTTGTAGGAGCTCCAGCCCTCTCTACTTCCACTTTTGTGTAGTTCTGTGGATAACTTGAATACCAAACAACCTTCCATCCCTCGTTCAATCTGATATATCGCGAAACTCATACAATTGAAAAATCCATCATGTCTAGAGAGGTTAACTTTCTGCTGTATCTTATGCATGAGACCTCATATCAAAAGCAAACCCTTCCGTTGGCTGGTATAGTAGATTCCAAATCATTAAAAGATAAAAACGAAAGGAAGCTGACACTTGAGATAAACAAGATAGGAACCTCAGACTTTTAATCTGCCCTGTAAAGTTAAAACCTAAAAGCACAACAGCCTTAAAGATTACACTCTGCTACGAACATTCTTTACAGGTATGAGTGCGCTTTCCCGGAACTGACTACTATGAGTAGTCATCATAAAAATTCTTCTTCTAAAAGTATAAAAATCAGAAGCAGCCTATAAAAAATGGATCTCTCAGTCATAAATTTCAGAAATGGCCTTCAATTATGATTGGCAGTCGCAACAAGTTCGTAACTTCATCATATGCCAATTTAAGTCTCAGAAACAGATTCATGGAACCAAACACTAAACTCTAGCTTTTCACCAAGAAAAGCTGCTGCTTCCTCATTCTCTCGAACATATGCGTGGTGTTAACTGTTAGCAATAATGCCTTCTAGGAGAGCACTATCCAAAGTTCATTTAATTTAATCAGAACTTCCAAAATCTGTGGGTGTAGCTTATCAGCAACGTGAAACTCGTGAACA